GTGTGTGTGTGTGTGTGTGTGTGTGTGTGTGTGCATGAGCGCTCATTTGTGGTGTTAGCAGAATAAACCACCAAAAAAAAAAAAAAAAAAAAACTATCTAATAAAACTCCCAGAAAGTAATCACTGGATGTACAAGGACTGGACAAGGTTTCTGCAAGTTTCAAGTAAACTTAAGACCTTTTAAAAATCATTATGATTCAAATATAAAACCAAAAATAAACAAAAAAGCAATCATTAAAAATAGTATTTTTTCTTCTTTTTTTCTCCTTTCATTCAAATACAACAACAGGAGCAGAGATGTCATATTTTTTGTGAGCAATGTTTGAATGTCTCCCATTAAATTTCTTTGGATATAACTGATGCATGTTGGGAGTTGTAGTTTGTTACACCATAACATCTGTAATCAGACAGAGCTACAAACACACAGAATGAATTAACACAGACAGGGAATTTAAAAAATAATCTGGCCTAAGAAGCAATGCATGAACAAATGTACAATTTAAGAACACAATTTAGGGCATTTTCACACCTGAATTAGTAAATCTGTACATACTGAAGGTCTTTTAAAGACCCTGATCTACAGCCAGTTAACTCCAAATCAACTCAAGTCAAGATGGTTGTTAAAACTAATCAATCTTAAGCACAAAAAACACCTAAAACTCAGTTAACAGTTAATCAGTTTTGGTAGTAGCTGAGAGTCATCCTCAGCACATTCTCTGAGCGCTGACCAATCTCATATGAGATGACACAACATTTACATTCATGACTCCATTACTTATCATTTTAGTTTAAGCTTTATTTTACGTCTAAACGGGAGGAGTGGCTCCTACCTGGTGGGCGAGGGTGGGGAGGAAGTTAAATCTGATGTGATCTGAAACACAGAGGAGCGGAGGATCAGTTTGTATCTCCAACTCTCCACCTACTTCCCACAGGTTTCCAGTTTCTGACCTTGTTGCTGTCGGCCATGCTGTAGGGGCGTGGGCGGAAGGTGCTGACCCTCTGGGGAGGAAGCGAGCGATCCTCCTTGGACTCGGGGGTCAGGGCCGGGAGTCCTGCGGACACCAGCTTGTCGAGCTGTCCGGTGCTGGTGCTGTTGGTCTTAGATAGGAAGAGAGAGCTGCTGGGGGAGAAGGTCAGAGACACAGACATAACAGAAAAAAAAATAGATGACATGAGAGAAATGTTGATTTTGGAAGAACAAACCAACTACCCTATTAGCAAAAAACAAAGGAAGGCCTGAATAAATATTTAAGATCAACATATTGTTGATAAACTTGATTAAATAAATGTAATCAATTCTTTATCTTATCACCCCTCCAGCTGATCCATCTTGCCGTGTTGTGGTTGAGTGTAGGAGAAAGGGAACCAGCCTTTCCTGTAAGGAAACATTTCACAGCACTTGAAGACAATTTAACCAAACAGACAAAAGATACTCACGTCATTTATAATTTTCAGTCTTTTTCTAAAGTCCTCAGTATTCAAACTAAAACAATAAATAAACTGTACCGTCCGGTCCGTTCATTTTGACCGTAGTGCCACCCGTCTCTGGGCTCAGAGATCAGCAGGGTGATGTGGTCGCCAGGTAGGAAGTGAAGTAGGCAAGCCCCGCCCATCACGTTTCCACCCTCCGATGCTCCAGGAGTGTGGGAAAACATGGCCTCCACCCGGGTGTGTCCAGATAAAGGCAGCATCCTGGGGAGACTGGATCCTGCGAGGAAGAGGAAAATTTAAAGTCCAGTGCCTTTAATGCCAGAGTTACAGATAAAGATCATCTTTTGATCAGAAGGAAGGGAGTTACACGTTTTTTGTAAATTTCATGATGCGCAAACTGACGCAGGATTGGGAAGGCTGAAAATGAAACCGGTACCACTCTCACCCTGAAAGCCCCCCAGTCTAATTTCACTGACAGGCCTCCTCGGCAGCGGCAGCGTAGCGGTGGCAGACATGTCTCCAGCCTTCAGCAGCCAGGGGTTGTGAGACAAAGTGTTGCTCCCTCCTGGTCCCACCTGTTGGTGCAGCAGCTGCACGGGGGTCATGGCCCTGGAGAGAGGAGCGCTGTGGGACAGCGGGGGACTGTGGGGGGCACTGTGAGGGATGGGGAGAGTCATGCCCTGCGAGGAGCTGCTGGTTGCCGAGATCTGGCTGAGCGACATCACGGTGGATGGGATGAGGCTTGGGGAGAGGCTGGTCGTGGCCAGGAGGAGCAAGCCCTGCTGGGTGCAGCTGCTGGACGTGGTGGCAGTGGACCCTGCCGGACTGGCGCTCTCGTCGGGGAGGGGGCTGGCTGATGCGCTGAGGAGCGTGCTGGTGTGCTGAGGAGACGTCCCTCTGGATGAACCTCCTGCAGCTCCGGCAGTGGAGGACCCAGAGCGGAAAGCCTGAGGGGAGCCCTGAGGAGGACCAGAGTCGCTGTGGGAGGAGGAAGACGAGGGGAGCGAGCGCTGCTGCTGGGAGCGACTCGACTCGCCATTCAACAGTGGAGGGACTTCCTGGACAGAGAGCTTCTGCAACGACAATATTAATAAGACTAGATATGGAGTGTCAAATATTTTCAGAGGTGTGCAGAGTTTAAATCTCACCACGTCTCTCTTACAAGCTCTAATAATAAACATGAATCTACAGTGTTTTAATGCAAGAACCGTAGAGAAATACATCGTTATCATCTTGTTCTGATCACATTAGCCTGATTACTGAGCACAACAAGTAAATCCAGCCACAACAGGGGTCTAGGTTAGCATGATTTAATCAACATGTTTCACTCTGTCTTATTGACTGGAGAACTGCTAAAGCTAGCCTTTTCTGTTGTGGGTATAAAAACCAAAAGCTTTGGTCAAAGATTCAAAGAGTCGCTGCAGAGGGTCAAAGAGCTGCAGGTTGCAGATCCTTGAACTTGGAGAACAAACTGGAACACGGTTAAACTGGATGAGCAAACCTTTGAAGCAAATTTAGGAAGGGGACTTCATAGCTACGACTTTAAACAATGATTTAAGACTTTTTACAACTTATATAAAATATATAAAGAGTGATCAAACTAGACCTATGATAAAAACATTTAAGATTTATCATTCTAAGTTTTTGCTTGTAAATGGTAAATGGTACTGAACTTATAGAGTGCTTATCAAGTCCCTCCGGACCCCAAAGCGCTTTACACTAACAGACATTCACCCATTCACACTCACATTCACATTCACACACTACACTGTAGCCACAGCTGCTCTGGGGCACACTGACAGAAGCGAGGCTGCCACCGGACACTCTGACAACCAAGGTGGGTGAAGTGTCTTGCCCAAGGACACAACGACTGAGGTGGCTGGACGGGGGATCGAACCAGCGACCTTCCAGTTCCAGGACGACTCCCCTAACCACTCCGCCACAGCTGCCCCCAGTTTGTTTGTAATTGAAACATGACAGAAATCTAAATGTTCAGGTGGCTCTTGACTGGATTTGTTACCTGATCTGGCTGAGCGGAGCCCAGCTTGGCGTGACGGAGGACCTCTGCTATCCCAGCAGCCCCTGGGCTTTGCGGCGCCGTGTGACGCAGTAGGTTGAGCGCGCGCTCTGGCAGCTTTGTCGGTTGAGAGCACGACTGCTGCCAAGAAGACAGTTTCTGAGACAGAAGCTCTCTTACCTGGATCACATTCAAAAGAACAAAACAAAATGACAATCTGTTACAAAAATGCAAAAGCATTATTATATTTCATGTCAATTTAATTAATAGTTACCCAAGAAATAAAAGTGCATTTATTAAGGTATCATTTGTCTGTCTGTTGGCAAAATATCTCATGAAAACTGGATGGATTCTACTGAAACTCCATATTCTACCACTTACCTGTGTCCTAATTTCAAATTTTCAAATAATTTTAGCACAGAAACCTAAGGATTATGACACAAAAAATACTTCTTATCTATAAATGATTTCATTGTTCAATGATAGAAAATGACCCACAGGTGTATAAAATCAGACGGATCACCTTGGAGTGGTAGTTTATGAGCAGTTTGGTGACGCAGCACTGTCTGTCCACCAGGAAGCAGTATCGTCTCCTCTCCTCGGTGAGTGCAGACTTGTAACCTGTGGCAACCAGCGCGTCCAGCTCACCTTGGCGACGACTCATCAGCTCCACAAACTGAAAGGAAAAAAATATATATTATCATGTCTAACTGCAACACGTGCTTCCACAGATCTCCCTGTTGGTACTTAAAAACAATGTGACCCTAATGGTAACAACATGAATGCGACAAACCTTACCCACTAAGTTTCAGCTAAATCCAATTTTTCTCTAATTTCTTTTTCTTTCTCACACAAACACTTACACAACTCTGTGGTTTAATCTGCAACAGTACGAAGAAATATTTATAACTGATTTATTTGTCATATATATTTATTTTGCAGCTTATGAACTAAATCTTTCCTCACCTGCATCTCCCGGTCACCGTACTTGTTTGGGTGCCTGCTGCCCTGGCTCTTCCTGCGGAGCTTCTTCAGCTGGGACTGGCAACGCTCAATAGACTCCGATTTAGACCTTCGCTCACTCTGGTACTTCTTTAGAGTCGACTGAGATGGACACAAACAAACAAACAATAAAACTAATATTTAGAACGAAGAGGCCTTGTTAGAGTTACTGACATCCCTGAAGTTCAAAGGCATCTTTGAGGAAAATCTTGAAAAGAAAATCCCCTGTGCTAAAGTAATTAGTAGCAACAAATATTTTGGCGACAAAACATTTTTTCACTTTCTTTAGATGCTCTGGTTGATCCTGTTGCTCCTCAATAATTTTATTTTTAATTCTTCTCATTTTGCTGCTCAATGATGCAAGACCTCCACCTCAAATCTGTCTGATCAGCAGACAAGATATTAGGATTTAAAACACCTACAACAAACAAATTTTAACCACAAAGCATTAAATAATTCCTCAGAAAGAGCCCCCATAAAAATATGAGTATAAGCATTTTCACCAAATCTTATTGAGCCTCATGCAAGAACATGTTCGTATTCTTGTCATAAATTTCTCTTACTTTTGTTCGTACAAAGGGTTCGTACGAACATGTCACGTCAGATTCAACAAACTCTTCTATCTGCAGGAAAAGTGTGTAAATGAGCTGCGTAAATTCCACCTGTTCGTATCCAGCTGCTCGTGCACGCGAGAGGAGATTAGCATAATTACCACCCCAAAAACACCATATAAGGCTGTGTTTCCTAATCTGTCATTTTTAGCAGGTCAGCTGTGGAATAAAAAGAGCTGCTAAAAGTACAAACAACTGTGTTAAATCATTTTCATTTATTCAGAAGCCGCAGCGCTATACGTCAGGTCTGGACACACGTGAATTT